TTAGGGTCAAAATTGGGCTTTTTTTATGTTAAAAATGAGGGTTTTTTCCTGTAAAATTGGCGTTTTTAGCCCCTGAAATTCGGTTTATTGACCCCGAAATTTGGCTTTTTTTAGCCCCAAATAATTCTCCAAAATTCCCCAAAATTAAAAAAAAAAATCCGAAAAAAATTCCCCAAAAAATCCCAAAAATTACCCAAAAAATCCCCAAAAAATCTCAAAAAAAATCCCCAAAATTCCCCCCAAAATTCCCCAAAATTAAAAAAAAAATCCAAAAAAAATTCCCCAAAACATCCCAAAAATTACCCAAAAAATTCCCCAAAAAATCCCCAAAATTCCCCAAAAAATCCCAAAAGAATCCGCCAAAAATTCAGAAAAACCCCCAAAAATTCCTCCAAAAAATTCCACCAAAAATGCCCCAAAAATCCCCAAAAATCCCCAAAAATCCCCAAAAATCCCCAAATTGCCCCCAAATCCCCAAAGGTCCGGCCAGGGCCTGGGGGCGGCTCTGGGGGGGAGGGGAGGGCGCTTTTGGGGCGGTTCTGGGGGGCTCTGGGGGGCTCAGGAGGCAGCCGGGGGTGCTGCAGGTGGAGGTCAGCGAGATCAGCAGGGGGGCGGCGCCTGCAAAAGACATTTTGGGGACACTTTAGGGGTTTTGGGGGGTTTTTCCCAAAATTTGGGATTTTTTAGGGTCAAAATTGGGCTTTTTTTATGTTAAAAATGAGGGGTTTTTTCTGTAAAATTGGTGTTTTTAGCCCCTGAAATTCGGTTTTTCCACCCCAAAATCTGGCATTTTTTAGCCCCAAACAATTCTGCAAAATTCACCAAAATTAAAAAAAAAATCCAAAAAAAATTCCCCAAAAATTCCCCAAAAAATCTCAAAAAAATCCTAAAAAATTCCCCCCAAAAAAATCTCAAAAAAAAATCCCAAAAAATCTAAAAAAAATCCTAAAAAATTCCAAAAAAATCTCAAAAAAATCCTAAAAAATTCCCAAAAAATCTCAAAAAAATTCCTAAAAAATCTCAAAAAAATCCTAAAAAATTCCCAAAAAATCTCAAAAAAATCCTAAAAAATTCCAAAAAAATCTCAAAAAAATCCTAAAAAATTCCCAAAAAATCTCAAAAAAATCCTAAAAAATTCCCAAAAAATCTCAAAAAAATCCTAAAAAATTCCCCAAAAAATCTCAAAAAAATCCTAAAAAATTCCCAAAAAAAATCTCAAAAAAATCCTAAAAAATTCCCAAAAAATCTCAAAAAAATCCTAAAAAAATCCCCAAAAAAAATCTCCAAAAAATCTCCAAAAAATCCCCCCAAATTCCCCCAAAATTCCCCGAATTTTGCTCACCAGCCTCCAGCACGTCTCGGGCTCCTTCGGGCTCCAGGGCCAGGTTGGCCAAAGCTCGGGCGGCGCGATTCCGGACGCTCTCGGGGGCAGAGGTCAGTGCCAGCACGGACACTGCGGCCACAGCTCGGGGTCATTCCAGGCAATTGCCCCCGATTTTCCACCTTTTTCACCCATTTTCGGGATTTTTTCTTTTTCTTTTTTGGTAGTTTCCCTCATTTTCGGCACTTTCCCCCTCACTCCGGGCACTTTCCTCCACATTCCCGATATTTTTCCCTCAGTTCCCGATATTTTTCCCTCATTTTTGCATTTTCCCCTCACTCCGGGCACTTTCCTCCACATTCCCGGTATTTTTCCCCACATTCCCGATAATTTTCCCCTCAGTTTTGTCACTTTTCTGCTCAAACCCGGCACTTTCCCCCTCACATCTGGCACTTTTCTCCACATTCCCGGTATTTTTCCCCACATTCCCGATACTTTTTCCCTCAGTTTTTGCATTTTTCCCTCACTCCCGGCACTTTTCTCCACATTCCCGATATTTTTCTCCACATTCCCGATACTTTTTCCCTCAGTTTTGTCACTTTTCTCCTCAAACCCGGCACTTTCCCCCTCACTCCCGGCATTTTCCCCCAAATTCCCGACATCTTTTCCCTCAGTTTTTGCATTTTCCCCTCACATCTGGCACTTCTCTCCACATTCCCGGCACTTTTTTCCACATTCCCGATATTTTTCCCCACATTCCCGATACTTTTTCCCTCAGTTTTTGCGTTTTCCCCTCACTCCGGGCACTTTCCTCCACATTCCCGATATTTTTCCCTAAATTCCCGATATTTTTCCCTCATTTTCGGCACTTTCCCCCTCACTCCCGGCACTTTTCTCCACATTCCCGATATTTTTCTCCACATTCCCGATAATTTTCCCTCAGTTTTGTCACTTTTCTCCTCAAACCCGGCACTTTCCCCCTCACTCCCGGCATTTTTCCCCAAATTCCCGACATCTTTTCCCTCAGTTTTTGCATTTTCCCCTCACATCTGGCACTTTTCTCCACATTCCCGATACTTTTTCCCTCAGTTTTGATATTTTCCCCTCACTCCGGGCACTTTTCTCCTCACACCCGGCAATTTTCTCCACATTCCCGATCTCTTTTACCTCAGTTTTTTGCATTTTCTCCTCACATCTGCCACTTTTCCCCTCACACTCGGCACTTCTCTCCTCACTCCCGGCACTTTTCTCCACATTCCTGATATTTTCCCCTAAATTCCCGATACTTTTTCCCTCAGTTTTTGCATTTTTCCCTCACTTCCGGCACTTTTCTCCACATTCCCGATATTTATCTCCACGTTCCCAATATTTTTTCCCTCAGTTTTTTGCATTTTTCCCTCACTCCCGGCACTTTTTTCCACATTCCCGATATTTTTTTCCACATTCCCGATACTTTTTCCCTCAGTTTTTGCATTTTCTGCTCACTCCCGGCACTTTTCCCCACATTCCCGACATTTTCCCCCACATTTCCGACATCTTTTCCCTCAGTTTTTGCATTTCTCCCTCACTCCGGGAACTTTTCTCTACATTCCCGATCTTTTTTCCCTCAGTTTTTGCATTTTCTTCTCACATCTGGCACTTTTCCCCTCACTCCGGGCACTTTTCTCTACATTCCCGATAATTTTTCCCGCACTTTTTCTCCACATTCCCGATAATTTTTCCCGCACTTTTTGTATTTCCTCCTCACTCCCGACGTTTTTCTACTCACACCCGGCAATTTTATCCACATTCCCGGCACTTTTCTCCACATTCCCGATACTTTTCCCCTCAGTTTTTGCATTTTTCCCTCACTCCCGGCACTTCTCTCCACATTCCCGATTTTTTTTTCCACATTCCCGATATTTTTTCCCTCAGTTTTTGCATTTTTCCCTCACATCTGCCACTTTCCCCCTCACATCTGCCACTTTTCTCCACATTCCCTACATTTTCCCCCACATTCCCGATACTTTTTCCCTCAGTTTTTACATTTTCTCCTCACATCTGGCACTTTTCCCCTCACTCCCGGCACTTTTCCCCACATTCCCGACATTTCCCCCCACATTCCCGACATCTTTTCCCTCAGTTTTTACATTTTCTCCCCACATCTGCCACTTTCCCCCCCATTCCCGACATTTTCCCCCACATTCCCGACACTTTTTCCCTCAGTTTTTTGCATTTTCCCCTCCCACCGAGCCCCCCCTCGCTCACCCAAGCGCGGGACCCCTCCGAGGCTCCGGGCCTGGCGCCGGCAGCCGCGCTCGGTGCAGCAATTCCCGATCACGCTCAGCGCCAGCTCCAGGATCCGCCGGGGCTTCTCGGGCCCCACGAGCTCCAGCAGCGGCCCGA